AAAATACTTGCGGATAATATCAAAAATCAACAGGAGTTGCTTCCAGTAAGAATGGTTGAATCATATTTTAAAGAGGATGAAGACTACATTTTTTTTGATGAAATACCCAATAATATGAATATTCGTATTATTATACAACTGCCAACTGAATTTGCAAACAATAGGATAAAGTTCGTAGGTAAGATATATTAGTTCTAGATGTAATTTGATGAAGCTTTAATGGTTAACAACTAAAATTTTATTTTTCCTCAATTGATTATTTGACATATAATTCTATATTAGATAATATAACAAAATTTTTAATGATCTCTTGCGTCCTTTTAATGAGGAAGTTAGTCGTGATAATGTTGAACAGTTGCTTTCCAAACTATTACTACTTAAATTGCATGTCTCCCCGATTTAGTTGTTATCTTAATGTGCTTGAATCCTTATTTTCAAGTCCTATTTATTTTTCTAGATTAAGTGCTATTGTTGCGGTTGTTATGAGTATGATAAAGAAGGAATAACTATGGGAAACATTGATTCGCATATTAATATTTTCATTGAATTTATCCAAGAATATGAACGTGGTTGTAGTAAAATGAGTTTGGATCGTAACCAGGCAATCCAATCTTCAACTACTACGACAGAAAATAAGAGATATCGACCAGATAGCGCGGTATATTATAATAGAGTACTCGTAATGATGGGCGAGGCAAAAGAAATTAACACTAAGTTAGAAGCTGCAGAAACACAATTAGATGGACCGATCGAACATTTCATATAATAATCTTCTTCAAATAAATTACACAGTGCATTACTTTATCATGAATTCAATCAAATTGGAAATATGCCATTTTTTGGCTCTTTCCGCACCTTATTTTTCTTGCTGTTCCAGTGATATTCCCCGAAAAATTTTCTGTATTCTTGGGAATCGTGATATCAAGAAAAAATTCTCCGATATGATCGCACATGATTCAAAAATTAATTCTTTTACTGCGGAGCTCAACCAAATGTTCTACTTGTTTAATATATTCTTCAAAATTTTTCTCTTTAATTGTATTTTTATTAATAAATTAGATTGTATATTCATATAATCATCTATTTTATATTTAAATGAATCAATTAAATTACTTGCTTTAATAATTTCATTATTATCAAATATATTGATGTTTTCTAAATTATTAAAATTTTCAATATCACGTTCTAATTCAATTACATAATTTTCAAATTTACGTAAAAATTAAAAAATAAAACTCATAAAAGAAAAATAATTAAATTATTCAACTTTAACTCAGGATTTCCTATTACAGTTGATAAATTTATTAAAAGTTATAAAATAAATAAAGACGATTAAATCAATTAAAGGATTATTTTTTTAAATCTTTACATGAGTATCCCGAATATATATTTTCGTTATTTATCATTAAAATAAAAATTGCAATTTTAAAAATTACCATCCCAATACATTACATATAATTTATTATTTTGAAATAAAATTTTAAATTCATTTTCATTACTAATTTTAATAAATAACGGTTTTTATCGATTTTGATCTCGTTCCTAATAAACTAAAGATAAAAAAAAATAATCAAGTTAGTTTTACAGAAAATATTTTTTATCTCTCTCGAAGAAAGTTTTTATCTCTTTAAGAGAAGAAAACAATATATAGCGTTCTGTACGTATACACAAAAACTCGCTTCGTCGAAAATAAAAAAAAAGGTTACTACGTAAGATACAAAAGTACTTACTTTTTATTGGGTTTTCTTTTGGATTTTTTTTGTAAAAATTTCTTTCGATTTTTTGTAAAAAATAAAGGTCGTAAACTAAAGATAAAAAAATAATCAAGAAAAAAATACGTTCGGGAATAATAAAATATATAAGGGAAAAAAGGTAAAGGAAAAAGTACAAATTTTTGTGAGGTAAGGTGGAGAGTATTAATAATAAAATCAAGAAGGGTAAAGGAAAAAAAGATGAAATTACACTTGGGGATTATAAAATATATAAGGGAAAGGTTAAAATTTTGTGAGGTGAGGTGGAGAGTATTTATAATAAATCAAGAATGGTAAAGGAAAAAAAGTTGAAATTTTTGTGAGGTGAGATGGAGAGATTCTCATGATTTTGAACGATGCATCATTCTGGACGTCCGCCTTTGATTCCAATACCTCAACGCAATCGCCTTAACGAATCGTGACGAATGATAAAGATAAAAATCGTTGTCTATGTGCTGCTGGAGTACAACAGATTTGGAAGAAATCCAGGCAAGATGTTACGACCAAGACGCGGATACCATGAAGACGAGAAGCAACCACCAGGTAAATCAATGGTTATTATAAGTAGGGATTGAATCAATTCAAAAGTGTAGAATAGATTTTATTATCGATTAATCGCGAATAATCGTTTCTCGAGTTTCGTTTAATCTATTTTATTAATGATGCACCGATTTTTTTGATCGCAGTTAACCCAAAAATTTGTTATAAAAGAAAATTTTTATTGTCAAATTTTTTTGATTTTTTGGTCGATCGCTTCACATTGCATTGATCAACCAGCTAGAGGTTGGAACCGGTTCTATTTCCGAAAACCGGATTTCAAAAAATTTGACCCGGTTTAAATCGGTTGCAATCGATAACCGGGTCAATTCGAGTGCTCGGCCCGAATCGAAACCGGTTTAAAGAACCGGGTTGGATCAAATCAATTTTAAATTTTTTACGATTTTAGATAAATTAAATTTGATATTATTTATAACCTCTTCGTCATTCAAAAATTCCAATAATTTTTTTATATTATGCTTATCACGCAAATGTGTTAAAGTATTTCCACCTTATCGGTTATAGTCATATGCAGCTTTATTTGTTCCTGCAAATTCGTTTCACAAATTTTGCAATAAGCAATGTTAGGATTTTCTTTTCGATCCGAAAGAAAAATGCTGTAGTACTGCGGTTAGTTCTAATTAAGGATGAACGAAATTCTATTCTTCGTTTTTTGTACTACTTTTTGTGCTTGTGATATCGGTAGTTGTAAGTTCTGTAATAGTTTCTGTATCGGAAAGTATAACTGAGGGTTCGCGATAATGAGAAATAAACATGCTAAAAGAAAAAGAGTACCAAAAGATTGTATGGGAAAAGCTCGTGCGAGACTAAATATGGATTTTTTTTATAACCTTAAATTATTTTTGGTAAATCGAAAACCGGATCTTCCAACCGGTTGAATCGCAACCGGTTTTGCGTCGCTCTAAAATTTGGAACCGGATTTATTCAAAATCGGTTAGACCCGAATTTAAAACCGAATTGTTATAACCGGTTCCAACCTCTAGTTTAATTAATTAAATATTACAGGTTCAATCGCTGCGATCGAACATTTTTATCCTTCAGCCCTTTAGCTTGATTGGTCTTCTTTCTGAAAGAATTGGGTAAGGCGATGTTTATTTATTTTATGGGTTCAGTTGCTTCGAGTGTTAACGATGGTGTTAGATTGTTAAATTACTCTTCAGGCCCTTCTAGATTTATCCTTACTATCCACTAAAAGATATTGTTTTTATTCTATTTTCGATTAATTCGATTTTGATAGAATAGATTCCAATCCCTTAATCATAAGGTTGTAAAAATTTATTGCTATTACATTTTTTTATGCTTTAAAAATAAAAACAGTCTTCGTATTATGTAGATATTTTAAGGACGGAAGTAGAAAGTCTCGAATTTACAGAGACACTGGAGAATTAGAAGCAGATCGACTAGATCAGATTATTTCGTTTACTACAAGGTAAACTGATGCTTATCATTAGGTTGTTTCAAAATTTATGTCATTATTATATCTCTTATTTTTTTTTTTTTTACACTTTTAAAAGGCTTCTACATGGTTGAATTAGCAATCCGTCCCTTAAGGATAAAATGCAACTAAAATCAATTTTTATGCGATGGAATATCTAATCTATTCCCCTGGTTTAGTTTTGAATCTGGGAACAAATATAACAGGATATAATCAAACTGAAAAATTCAAAAATATACATTATCGTAACTGAACAAATTGGACAGAAGTTCAAATTGACTTATTTAATAATATTATTTATTGCACAAAATTTTTATCGAAAAATAATTTTTTTTTGTTTCTTTTTTATATCTCTTCTAAAATTTCACTATTTAAAAATTTCCTGAGTTATGAGTTTAAAATTAGAAAGATTTTAATTACAATTGAAAATTAACTTTTTTTTTAAAACAAAAAAAGATTTTCAAAGTTCAACTTTAGTTAAATTTACTAAAGAAAAAAATATTTTCAAATTTCTTTTATATTTCACAGCAAAATTATTTTTTTTTCCTGTAATCGGTGGAAGAATTTACGAAAAAAAGTAAAGATAAAATTTTAAAAAAATTTGAAAACATCCAAAATAAATGGTTGTTTTTACACAATTAGATTAAACATGTTTCAGTTAATAAATATTTATAATATTTATGTTATTTAAATCCAATCTTCACCATTGATTTTATCCAAATGTTAAGAATTACCGTAGTATCTAAATTGTAACCTCCTACGCTTACGGTAAGATCTTCATAACTTTGAAAAATACTGTATGTATCACTTATCTAAAAATCATCGTGTATAAAGAAATTTATTTTTCAAAATAAACATTTTTTTTATATTTGCATTGTTTTTAAAAGAGTGAATTTTTAAAGAAATTTGCAAAGTACACTAAAAAATTGATATTTTTCATCCCATATTTTTCTATGTAGGTACAGTGGCGGTCAAAAGTATTGCATCACCCGAACACAAATTTTAAAATTGCAATTTTTTGACAATTAAGGCGGCGCAGTGTACAAAACTTTATTTTTAGACTTATTATAACGAATCAATTTAGTGGTATAAATTTCGTTACGCAGTGATGGAATAAAAATTTTTAAAATAATATTTTTTGTCGATCATGCGATGCTTTTCTTTTGACCGAATTTTATAAAATATTTTTATATAAAAAAAAAAAAATTTATTATTTCAGTTATAATAAAACTTTGGTAAAAAATTGTTTACCATTTTGTATAGCCACCATTAGCTCTAATTACATCATTTATACAAGTTGGCATAGTATCAACCAACTTTTTACATACATCGGACCCCAATTTAATCCAAATCTTTTGAATTGCATTCCATAAATGATCCTGTATTCTAACAGGAGTTTCAAGCTGTCTCAAACGACAGTCCATTTTATTTCAAAGATGTTCTATTGGATTTAAGTCAGGGGACTGTGCTGGCCAATCAAGAATCTTAACCCTATTATCTTCAAACTATTGCTTTGTGAGATGTGCTGTATGTTTAGGATCATTATCCTGTTGAAAAATAAATATAGGCCATTTTGGGGGTTTTGGAACAAATTTCGAATAGGTATAAAATAGTGTGTAGCCTCACGGCTACTTTCCTGATATACAAAATTTTGAATTCTTTATTAAACCCCAAATTAGCCTACAATACCAGAAAAATATAAAAATCCAATATTGAATTCATTGTTAAAATCGAGCTAGGGCTTAAATTTAATTAATATATCTTCTTACCCAAATTTTAAGTTTCTAAGACTAAGATATACACTATCTTTGTTAACACGCTGTCCTCTTTTTAATCCCAAATAATATAACGAAAAAAGTATGCAATTCTGCTTGTCCTTGAAAAAGAACAGCGAACACCGAGGATCGAAGTGTCCGAGTGTGCTAGCGGTTCACCAAAGCAAGCCTAATTAGCATATCATTTTTTATGTTATCCTATAATTAATTCTAGAGCCGATTCATTAGTGTAATCAAATTCCGTTAA